CTGGGAGGACTAATGCTTCCAAAGACAGGGAAGGATCTCTTCCTGCTTCTTTCTCTTTCCTCTGTGTTCAGTTACCTACGTGAATGGCTGCTTTCTGGAGTAAACTTTCCTCCCGCCGTTGCTGCTCCAGCCACCCTGACATCCCCTAATGCTCTTTACAAAAGATGATTTCTATTTCTAGCCCGACTAGCAGTCCTGGGAATTAAAGCGCGACCTCTTTCCTGTCAGGATAGTTGCTGGTGAGCAGAGCAGTGTCTAATTCAACGTGCAATCCAGAGAGGGGGAAGGGAGCTGCCACTCTGGAGAAAAGGGCAGATTTTAATCAGCTCTTTAAAGGAATAATGTAGCAATCCCTCCCCATGCAAAGCAGAGGATGGAGATGTCATTCGTGACTCAGTAGGTGGCACTCTGTTTCTTGAGTCAGCACCGAGCCACGGCTCCTGCCTGGGCTTGGTAGAGCAAGTGGATTTGTCTTTGGTTTTGGTTTTAGCAAGGTATGTTCATTAAAGATCTGTTCTCGTAAGGTTAGGAAGGTTGGCCACGGTGTCTGAGCTAAATTCCATTGCTGGTGAGATTATCCTGGCTCCCTGGCCTTTTCAGTTAGATGCATTTTTATTTTTGCTTCCTTTCTGTGCACTTTCAGGCAGCGCCTCAGTTCGAGCCAGAGTTGGCTGCCTTTCAGCAGAAGCTGAAAACATCCAAAAAGCTTTGTTAATTTAGAGGTGAGGTGGCTCAAGTCTGTTTTCTCTTGACAGTGCAAACACTACAGAGCAAGAACAGAAGTTAAGGCCACGAATGTGCCCCACTCAGGGGCAGGCTTTGAATGCCAGACTGACACAGTGATGCTGACCGGGCTAACCTCTGCAATTCACTGTTTTCTCTCCAATTGGTCACAATCCTTCCTGAGCTCATGCACTATAATTGGTTATACTGCATCATGGAATAGTTTTGAAAAATCAAAGTTTATTTAATTAAAAAAATGACATCCGAAAGCAATATTCCTAGCCTGCTGTTACATTATGCACTAGACAGAACAGAAAGATGATCCAACTTTCTGGTCAAAAACCACAAGCTAATACCTAGGAAGTCTACATACTGTCAAATCAACTGAGCGACACCAACTATGCTTAAAGAGCGTATATTCTTGAAGTGTAATTGCCACACTAATGCTCAGACGCATTCTGTTACAACTAAATAATATATTAGGAATTAAAAGATCGGAGGTAGCGGTGCATGTTAAAATGTGATTTTCGATCCTAAGAAGCGTGCATAGAGTAGGATGTAGTATAAAAACCAAGTATGTTTGAACAAGACATCTGGTTTATATAGTGCTGGCTGTTCTGTGAGCTGTTCAGTCACACTGAGTCAACTGTAATAAAACAATACATTCATATTTATTAATTTTTATGTAGGCTTTTGAAAAGAGGAACAGAAGTGAGAAGACAGGATATCAGAGGAAGATGTCCATGAGATGCATCTCAGTTAAACTCTTTTTCAAGCCATATGAATAGCTTCAGATCTGGTTAGACTGAAGAATCAAATTCGGGTCCTAACCCTTATTTAGCCTCAGACTTCCGTGGACAAATCCCAGTCTCTTAATTTTGCCATGCGGTTTCTCTATCTGCAAGACAGGGATAATAACTCTACCTGCCTCTCATGGGTGCAGCGGAGCCAATTTCATCACTGTCAGCTCTGTGGAATCCCTGGGTGAAAGGAACAACAGAAATACAGAAAACATGGGTTATTAATAGCTGGTGCTTGCCCTTACATACATCACATGCACCGTTAGTCATTCTGGCCAATAATTTACACGGAGTGAAAAGATGTTCCTCAGTGTAAATACAAAATGACACATGGATGATATTAGACCTCTGAGGTGTTGCGGTCCCTGAGAGTCTATTCAGTCTAAATCCAGTGATGGCATCCTGAGCAGATCATACTTCATATGTGGGTAAAATGAAAATGTGCAGGAGCTGTGGAATCTTAATAGCTAAATTTTAACTTCTAGGCAGTTTGCATTGTAAAGGCAGGTGAATTTCCTGCACTGGAACTGGCGTGCAGACCAAATTCTTGGTGGTTTTCAGCTTTTACTGCTGGTAGAGTCCAACCCATGGTAGAGTCCAAAGGTTATCTCCTACCTGACACCTTGGATGGATACCCTTTTATTAGCAGGGGTGCATTGGATACAAAAGTTTACCTTCTGCGTTTTGTAAGTGATGGCTTTAAAGGTCAGAACTAGGGGGAGCCTGTCACAATAATCTTGAGTCACTAGTACACCCTTGAGGAGAACCGTGGCTTAAGAAACACATGGCAATGAATTTTAGCACTTCATCTGTGCTTGTCCACACTGCAAACCATGATTCTCTGTAGAAGATTCAGCAGTAATAGCAGACTGGGACTGAAAAGCGCGTGTGAAGTGAATTTGAAGATCTTAGAGCTGGAATAGCAAGAAATGCTGTAAATCAGGATGCAGGACAGCTGACGGTGGTATGATCACGCTTGGCTGTAAGAGACTGGGGTAGCAGGAAGTGCTGCAGTGAGGCAGAAAGCATTTTACAGGGGTTGTGTGTGTGGAAAACGTCTTAAACTGTGAGCCACCCTAGCCGCTGTTGTCATTGTCCCCAGTTCCCGCTAAGTACTGAAATCACCAGCCACCATAGAAATAAGAGGCAGAAAAGTGCGAAGATCTCTGAAGAAAGCCACTTACCTTCACATCTTTGCATGTCTGGCCATGTCTGTCTCATGCCATTAATTTGAAACTTGGGAAAAGTAATTTTCTTTGTGCATATCTCCTCCTGTATCCCCTAAGGCAAATTAAAGATGGCTGGGAGGTTATTTATTTTCGATAATAATATACACACTGCTTCCAGACTTCCTGCCATCGTGCGATTATCTAGATTAATTGACTAGGAAAGCTGCAGCATCATCTCAGGCCCTTAATAAGGAAGACCACAACATGGGTTTATACAGTATTAACGCGTATTACTGTGTGACATGGCCTTGCTCTTAGAAGCATATGGACAAATGTCATTGCCGAGTGTCTACCAGCACCAACTGTACTTTTAGACTAAGCGAAGGATTGCGTGCTACCTTGCCTGCAGGGGCATGGCACCTTGAGAGCGAGAAAGAGATAGTTAATTACATTTTTGGAAACCTCGTTAGTGGATAACTTTGCTCATGCTGAAGTCAGTGCCCATCAGCCTCTGCTGAATGTTTCTGAGAATGGCTGGTGTGCTGCACGTTTGTGACTGTCTGTACGTGTGTGACAGGTGGAATCTTAAATATGCTTTTAGGTGCTTTCAAGTGTTACGTTCTTAACAAGGAGAGAGAATCTATACAGAGAAGGCTTTTAAGGCATGTTCTGCCCTTTTTGTTTTCCTGCTGAGAGTTTAACAATTCGGTGCAGTTGCCTCACTATAGTGATACTGTTCTGCAGCAGCTCAGTCGGGTCCAAGGCCCAGGCTTAAGCTGAACAGCCCTTACCCAAGCTAGATTTTGAGGATCTTTAAGGCAAATCTATTTTTCCTAAAACACATCAGTGATTTTGACTGTAAGCTGTCAGACAAAGAAGCAGCATGTGTGTGTCCTTCTTCAGCAAACCCAAGTTTTCTTCGTTACATCATTGTAAATCCAGAGTCACTCTGTTGACTTCACTGCTATTGAGATGATTGGTTTAAAGGAAGGCTCAATTCTCTCCCTTGTGTTAACTTGCTGTCGCTTTTTTTATGGTCTAGGAAGTTAGGCTTATTTGGTACTCAAGAGATTAATAACAATATAAACGCCATGCTAATTTGTGTGACTGACTGGAAGCACCACTGCAGCTTTCTGAATGTTGCATCTTCCTTGGTTAAGCAACCAGACATGACAGTCACTTTGCTCTGTGTACTTTGCTCATTTGCTGTAACAAGTGCATCTAAATACAAGTTAGTTATGATACCTCACAATATTGTAGTAGCCGCCCTGTACTATACAGTGTAGAGCTGATGAAAACTTGGCAGTGTGAAACCACAATACGCTGGCATCTCTACGTGTGACACATTTGGAGGGGACTAGAGCACCACTGTCGGGCAGTGAGGCTCCTTTGTGAGACTCCTCAACAAAGAATGAGACCCAGAAAAGTTTTTAGTCCTCGCTCTGGGTGAGTTGTGGCAACATTGTGTGATTGTGTCTCTTTTACACTAATACCTGGGGTAAATCTTAAAAAACCCCAAACAAATAAATTAGGAACTATATTCAGACTGTGTGCCTTCAGAACCAAAAAAGAATGTTACTGTAAGGCCCACTGAATTAATATTGACTTGCCACTAAAGTGAAGATAAGCTTCTTGGAGACTGTGCTTCATGGAACAGTAGTTAAATGTTGTCGCTGCTTACTTTAGAAACGAAATAGATATTTCCAGACATGTGACTCCGATCTATATCGACCATCTCTGTACAACACAGGAGTCCATAGAGTGTGGACTGAACTCCTAAAGTCCAGGCTCAGTGTAAGCTTGGCTCAGCAAGAAATCTAAACTGAACACTGTAGATCATGGCACGGTCTCTCCAGTTCCATCCCGATCCCAATGCTAGCTACTTTAAAGAAGGATCCAGTAGGAGGAAGCCTGATGATTTTAACCTCAAATGGCTTTATTGGCATGCAAACTCTGAGGCCTTCCAAATACTTGTTCTCTCTCTCTCTTTACCTAACAGTCACTGTAGTAACTACAAGTATCTCAGTCACTTCTTGGGTGGCTCTGAAGTCCCAGTCGAAGTTTTCAAGTGGGCATGTCCAGCCACGTACTCAGTTCCTTTCTGAACCTTCTAAGCCAGAAGATGAGTGTTCCTGTGATACTGAGTACTTAATTAGCAGCTTGTGCACTCTGAGTACATCAGGCAGACGAGCAGAGCATAGGGAATGAATGACAGTAGAGATGTATAAAGCACATTAGTTCTGTTGACCTGGACTCCCTGATCTCCCACTCTATAGCTGATCTCACATGTCTCTGTCTTGCTGTCCAGGTTTTATTGGGATTTGACCATGCTGCTCCTGATGGTAGGGAACCTGATCATCATCCCTGTGGGCATCACTTTCTTCAAGGATGAAAATACAACCCCATGGATTGTCTTCAATGTGGTTTCGGACACGTTCTTCCTCATCGACCTTGTCCTCAACTTCCGAACAGGCATTGTGGTGGAGGACAACACAGAGATCATCCTAGACCCACAGAGGATCAAGATGAAGTACCTGAAGAGCTGGTTTGTGGTGGATTTTATCTCCTCCATCCCCGTGGACTACATCTTCCTGATTGTTGAAACCCGCATTGATTCCGAGGTGTACAAGACAGCCCGGGCGCTGCGCATCGTGCGCTTCACTAAGATCCTCAGCCTCCTGCGGCTTCTGCGGCTCTCCCGGCTCATCCGCTATATTCATCAGTGGGAGGAGGTGAGCAGAGGCTGTGATGCACTTGCATCCTAAATCTTTTCTCCACTTATGCTGGTATTACACAAAAGTGCTTTCTTTGAACGCCCATTCTCCTACTTTATCCCAATGTGGATGCTAAAGAATTGTGTCTTGAGTCTAATGCTTCGCTTTTAGCAGGTTCCCAAGAGGGTCTTCAGCATATTGTTACTTAGTCATTTGAGACTGTTCTATCTGCTTCAGGATCATAATCTGTGGAGATGATGTGTGGGCTGGGAGGAGAGTAAGTACAGGTGGACCTCCTGCAGAAGTGTGTAGTTAACAGAGCTGCCTGTGAGGGGAGCAGTTAGCCAGACAGCGGGGTCTTGCCCCCTCAGAGCCCCAAAATGTCCAGAAGCAGCTCAGAGGAAAGGTCTAGAGACCTTTGCCAGAAGCTGTGGCAGTTGTTTACCCAAGCATCTTCTTCTTTTACATGGTTATCTCTTGAATAAATGGCTTGGTGATGTATTTATAACCTTCTTGCTTTCTAAATTCTCTGACACTGTGTTAAGGGGAGAGGAAAGAAGAGCAATCTGCAGACAAATAGGGTCTGTTTAAAGACATAAAGGTCTGGTGAAAAGCAAGAGTCCCTCTACCCTTGGACCCTGTGCTGTTCCCAGGGGAATTCCACTACGCAGGGTGAGTTGTCAGGCCTAATGTGAATGAAGCCACAACAAGGAGCTTGAAAATTCGTTATTTTTTTCCCATCTCTGTGCTCTCCAAAGCAGAGAGAAAGCTCCCTGCAGCTTTCCTCACATATCAGGAGCATATTTTCAGGACATGGAAAGCTGGTCAAGGCAATTTCATCTTCCTCCCCACACTTTCTCTTCTGCTTTGGAGCAGAGCCTGATGCAGAGCATGATCTAATGCAGAGTGTGCTCCTGGGAATGTGAAGGGAAAGCAGCCATGCAAGTTATGGCTAGATTGCACCGAGCTGTCAGAACACTAATTCATGATAGAGCTGAACCGTTTCCTCCTCCCAGCATCACAGACTCAGAGGGAGAGCACTGGTGCATGCTTTACAAATTTCAGGCTTCATCTTTGTGGTGTCATAATTTGTGACTGCTTCACTTACAGCAGAGCGTAATGCCGTGTTGAAGTCTAGGATGACATTGTGCAAGGTGCTGTACAGATGTATAGGGAGAGATGGCTGCAGCCCTGAAGAATTCCCTACTAGGTTAATTTTGCTTCATAGCACAGGCAGGCAGGAAGTGCATAGAGAGATGGAGATAAATAAAGCAGAAGCGTCTTTCCCAGTGTGACTTAGTAAGTCAGAGACTGAGCAGAGCAATGAAATATCTCCAGGTCTCTTGTCTTGTCCCTTGGTTGCATTGCTTCTCTGTCCTCTAATCCGAGAAGGCTCAGGAAAGGCGAGTTGGCGGCTTAGGCTGTTGTTTATGTAGCTCCTTCCTACAGATTTACGTGTAGCCACAGCAGTGCAGAGCTCCATGCTTGCTTGTCTCTGCTCCTTGACTTCCTTTCCATGAGGTGGATGAAGAGGATTTAAGTATATTTGCTGTTGATTGTACTGAATTTGTTTTAAAAAATAATGAAATGAAAGCAAAGCAGCGCCCTTTCCCTGTCTTGCTTCTCATACGGCTTCACTGAGCAGCCATTTCTAGTTTCAGGCTGGTAATACAAATAGGTGGGGCGTTTTGCCCTTTTGCTGCCTGCCCTGGGTACTGGGGGACAGCACAACCAGGCACACTCTAGACCCCCCCCCCCC